CTTATGTTTGTTATATACCCACATATGTTATCTTACAGGCACTTTCGGCTGCGACAGCTACAGTAGGCACCGGATTTTTGCCAAATAGTCTTCATAGCTATTTTGTGCAGAGTGGTATGTGTTGTATAGAGTGGTTCCTCATTCCACATACATGATAGGAAGGAACGAAAGGAATTTCCTAGGAAACGTCAATATGCCCATTCTCTATATGGTTGATCGCATTCGAGACGGACGTAGCTTTTGCACACGTCTGGTCAAAGCAGTTCAGAACGGAGAGGCCATATTCACTGTGCAGATATCTTTTCACAAGGTATGTACTGTTGTTCAGGTTTTTCGATGAGGGAAATTCCATTCCAGGGAAAGCTATTGACAGAAGGTTCTTCCCGATTCGAGTCAACCTAATTTGATTAGCTCCTTCCTCTCGTTGCCAACCATCAATAAGTGTGAATTCTAGTCGAAGTTGCTACTGTTTGGAGAATTAACCTGAATTTCCGAAAAAGGACAAAGCAGTTTTGGAGTTCCTCACTTCCTATGCGATCGGTGTTAGAATTGAATTTATGCTGAAATTCAAAGCCGTAAACCTGGGAGGGTAAGAGCTCCCCACAGGCGTAATGAATCGCGCACTCGCCGAGTAAGCTCGAAATACGGGTCTGAAACCGGCTTAAGGTCAGGACTTTCGTCCACGAGTCAGCATTCTTTGATGAAACTTACTTGCAAAACATCTTCAGCCGGAAGCTGACTCGATTGTTCATCAAGTCGACATGCCTAAAGTGATTGGGCCGGAACGGTCTTTTGGACTGGAATCAGCTAATGGAAGAAGCCGCGAAGGTGAGTAGAGGCATTCGTCCTCAACAATTTGCTGTACAACAATCTTTTTATTCAGAATCCTCAGCTGCATCCAGCGGCTGCAGCAATTATCCGCTTCAAACGCAAAGAAATTCCGCCAGCGTTTTTCAGAATATTTTCTGTAAGGTTTTTTAGTTATAATTATTTTTGTTGCCCTGCTCTTATCGCAGTTTTCAGTTCCTTCCAGTTGACGTAAATTCGTTTCTTTTTCAACCATCGGTAGCTGATGGGAACAAAAAACCTGATCAGAACAGCTTCCGTTCCTATATGTGGATCAAGGCGAATGAGAATATCGGTGCGTATTTCTTTTTTATGAACTTGTTATGTTACGGTATAGCATGTTGTGCTTTGCTTGGGCGAAGGTGAATACTCAAGTCATATTTCATATTTTTTTCCAGGTGATGACCCTCGTTTGCATGTAGCTGCGGCTGCATACATATCTGACGCTACGATGATTGAAACTGCTGTTCGTCCCCATAGCAGGTTTGTGTT